TTGACGGAGCTCCAGTAGGTGAGTTTCTTCTTCACTCCAGTAAGTTGGTGTATTGATCTAGATTAGTCGGATAAAGGAAGTTGAATGAACTACTTCATCCAACAATATACCGTCCCCAGGATGAGCACGTTGGCTCCTACCGATCCGCTACGATTTGCACTGTTTCAACTCTAATTCCTTTTTGCGAACCTGCCGGCATTGAAGTTCAAACGCGTACCAGCTAATCAGTGTCGGCGCCACGTCTGGCCATCTGATAGCTGAAGGACTTCGTGACAGATGAGTCGGTTTGATAGTAAACTGGAGTTGACTGTGTCTCAAGTCGAAAACAAAAACCGAGTGCAAAACTCTGTGGTGCCTTCGTCCTAATCAGGAGCCCGCAGTCTTGAACACGACGCAAGTTCCCGTGCATATAAATCAACGTTAGTTGTATTTGCATATCTCCCCTCAAACCGACACAAGATGATGCCCCTAGAAGGAGTAAGTTGAAGCAGTGTTGCCAGAATTTCAGGAACTGGTGGATTTGACCTCAGCGTCCAACACCACGTAGCCGACTAGACACTATTCATATCGTCCACCTTATTTTATTTATTTATTTATTTTTAGCGTTTCAAGACTTGGACCTTTTCGATGCGAAGTTTCCAGGTAACGAGCCTTCAGTCCTTTGCTGCCTCCACCATTCCGCTGTTCCACGAACACAACTGTTATATATGTCGACCCACACCGATTCTGCACTGAATGATCCGAGGAAACCTATAAAGTTTCGAACTTTGGAGGGGACTCCCCAAGCTCTCAGAAGGAGATCTAGCTTGTAGTGGCCTGAAACACGTTGATAGGATTTCTTGTAGTGAAACGTACTGGTGTCGTTGAAACATACACTACACAAATTCTCCAAGTTGGTTGCGAGGCGGGACGTTTGGTCGCTAAGATGAACCCTGCGATGAGGCGCTTTGTTTACTTTCTGGCCTTGACATGTCTGACTCTGCGTGGGACGAACGGCGCGCCCCACGGGAGCAGGACGTACATCGTGCACATGGAGAGGAACACCTCCCATCACAGCGTTCTTGATAAATCCGCTTGTTACGTTGGGATGATGCAAAGAGCCACGGAGGTCCTTGCAGAGGGCCACCCCGACGACGGCATGGACTGCCTCCACCACGTCTACGACCACGTCTTGGACGGGTTTTCGGCCAGGCTGACGCCAGAGCAGGCCGAATTCATGGGAAAGATGCCTGGCGTGAAGGGCTTGCACCCCGACGTACCCGTTCAGCTTGCTACCACCCGCAGCACGGAGTTCCTGGGATTGGCGAGTGCGAGCGGGAGGTTGTGGGCGGACGGCAAGTCCGGAGAAGATATGATCATCGGAGTGATCGACTCCGGAATCTGGCCAGAGCGGTTGAGCTTCGACGACCTCTCGCTCGGGCCGATTCCTGCGCGATGGAACGGGGTGTGCGAGGTCGGGACCAGCTTTACGGTTTCGAATTGCAACAGGAAGATCATCGGCGCCCGCTTTATATTCGCGGGTCGTGAAGCGGACATAGGCAGACCCATCGAGGACGGCGTCGAAGATTACAAGTCCCCGCGTGATATGGTTGGCCACGGCACCCACTGCGCCTCCACAGCAGCTGGCATGCACGTTGCTCGAGCAGTGAGCCCTACTGGGCTCGCCGAGGGAACGGCAGCGGGAACGGCACCCAAGGCACGAATTGCAGTTTACAAGGCTTTGTGGGGACCGGAAGGAGTTGGATCTACGGCTGACCTTATAAAGGCGATCGATTGGGCGGTGGCGGACGGGGTCGATGTCATCTCGTACTCGGTGAGTGGATCGACCGGAGAATACTTCACACAAGATTACCTGATGAACATTGCTATGTATAATGCCGTCAAGCGAGGAATCTTCTTCTCAGTATCTGCGGGAAATGAAGGCCCCGCCCCGGGGACGGTCGCCCATGTGGCGCCGTGGGTCACGACAGTCGCAGCTACCACTCAAGACCGCGACATCGACACGAATGTTGAGCTCGGCGATGGGACGGTTCTGAAGGGACGATCCGACTACGACGGGACAGCGCTGGCTGAGCAAGTCCCTCTGGTCTTCGGGGGTGACATTGCAGTCAGTGCTCTCTACGCAGACAACGCCACTTTCTGCGAGAGAGACACCATCGATGAGTCGAAGGCCGTGGGAAAGATTGTACTGTGCTTCCAAGATGACGTCGAGAGGAACCGCACGATTCCCGCCGGCGCCGTAG